GATTTGAGGAAGGAAATTGTGTTAACTAGTTTCACATTCCTGCTACTGAATAATTATCATGAGGAAGAGCTCTCAACAGAGGTAAAAGAATAGTCATTTGGAAAGACGAATTTTCAAAAACAAAGTTGCATCAGGAATTTCTAATATCCATGCATGTGGTCGTTCTCAGTCACATCTGGTGAATTCTGCCTCTATTCACAGATGACACTAATATATAAGTATTTATTAAATTCTCTCCTTTTAAATCAAACACATTTTATTCCTAATAGGTTTGGACTTGTTGGAAGGATTAGCGTTACACCCCTTGTAATTTTGAACATATGAATGGTAGAGATGCTGCAAATGTTGCCTTTTTCTGAATCGCTTAACCCCTAATCCTATTCTCCTTGCTTCCTCAAGAGTTATGGAGGAGAGGGAAATTGAACTTCCAGAGAACTTGTGAATTGGAATGGAAAAAGAATAAATTATTGAAAGCAGAACTTAAGGAGCAAGAACAGCCTGCCTTTAAGCATCTGCAAAGTCTTGGAGTTTCAGCTCAATTTTAGAACTTCATTATATCTACTTCTATTTGCAAAGTTTCCCAAAGCCTTAAACTGTGCCTTTCAGTCATGGGAACTTACTAAATAACTGCAAATGACTGAGGGGATGAGAACATGCTCAGGAGTCTACCAGACTAAATCCCACCTCTTCCAAACAAGTGATTGAACTTCTCTAAGCCTCAGTGTTCTCATCTGTAAAGCAGAGCACAGCAGGACCTCAAATAATGTCATTGTGAGTAACAGCATCTCATTATAACCTGGATGAGAAAAAGATAGCCTATTCTTGCCAGCGCCATCATCGGTGTGGAATCTACCCGTTCTCCCCATGTCTGCCTGGGTTTAGTCCGGGTACTCCTGTTTCCTCAGGTTAGGTTCCTTGGGGTGTCTAAATTGTCCCACTCTGAGTGAGTGTGAGGGGTCCTGTAATGGAAGGATGTTCCGTAGAGGGTTGGTTCCTGCCTTGCTGCCAGCATAGGGTCTGGCCCTCTCAGGCCTGAACTATAATAATAGGGTTGGAAAATGAATGAAGGAATATAAGTCATTGTTTAATGTTAGAAGTGTTTTGGTCTTTATTTAAAAGTTTGGTGATATCTCTGTGACCAGAGATATGCTGTAAGAACTTAACTCTAATTTATATCAATTGGCCTATGGTAAAATTGATTTTGTTATACATTGGTTCACTTAATATCAAAGTTTCCAAGAACCCATTAATGATGCTTAGACTTTCTGTAAGAATAACTAGAGTTTTTTAAATATTACTAATAAGAGTAGTAATAATAATAACAATAAGTAGTAATAGTTCTGTGAATACTAAACCATAGGAACTATATTTATTTTATATATTTTTTATATTTTTTAAGATTATTTATTTATACAAGCACTGGGTACAGTCAGAAGTGCAGGAGGGTGAGAGAGAATTCACCAGAGCCAGAGCGGGGAGCAGAACAGACAGACCGACGAAACACACTGCTGAGGGGAGCAGTAGGTGGCAGGAGAGGTCTGTGCGCCATGTGGGACCCTCACCGGTGGCTGGGGATCGAACCTGCACTGCAGGGGCTGCGGGCAGCTTCGCAACCCAGCGCTCAACCAATGCACCACCGGGGAGGCCCATATTTACTATATTTTAACTAATATACCTTTAGTATTTTGACTATGAAACTATACAAGGAACCAAGGGTGTACAGTTCCCACTAGATGCCATTTAATATCTCTAGAGTTATCACTTTTCTAGACAAGAAGAATACGGTGGGGGTGAGTGGGTGGGATGTGAAATTCTGGTACCAGCCTTTGATGATGAAGTTAGAAGAAATTGTAGAAGAAGTGTGTAAAGGCAAAATATCTCAATAAAGTAGCAGTAAAATAATTTAAAGTCAAAGATGAAAACAAATGTCCTGAGATCATCAAAGAAATGTGAGATTTAATAATTAGTGGATTAACAGAAAGTTAGCTACATTCTCAATGGGGAGTCTGGAACTCAATTTACTCAAATAGGGGGGAAATTAGTTAATAGCCTATCTTGAACCTTGGAAAGGCCAAATAATAAATTATGTGGATATGGGGTCCCTGTTGTTTTAGAGATGAGTAAAAGGGAGTTGACAGGTGTCAGTGTCCCAGGGAGAGCCCATCTCCTTCCTGGACTGACACATCTACACTTGTAGCCACAATCCGGTCTCCCTACATTGCTTGTAACACTGTAATTTTTGGTAGTGGGTTAGTGTTTTTTACTAAAATAAATAAAGCAAAAAGATTAAGTAACTCAAATTTAAAGTATTGATTCTTTGTATTAATATCAAAAATACTTTCTTAAACCATTGAGACTATTTAAAATGTTTGCAGACTATAAGAAAATGTAGTTTACTAAGTTGTCTAACAGGTTAGACCTATAACAGCTGTTTAAAGGAGTAATTGAGCAATTAATTTTAGTTTTCTGATGTTAAGTCAAAGGTATAAACAGTATTGGTATACTTAATAGAATTTAAGAATTATCTTCTTTGGAAGTTTAATTTATTAGTTTTACTTGGAGTGGTTTATGTAGATGGAAAGGTTTTTCCTACTAGAGAAATTTGAAGGAATTTAAAAAGAAAATCAATATATCAAATTGATAAAGGCAATGTACAATAATTAAAGGAAGTTTATTAACTGGGTTTGTGTCAACTGGGCTTGCAACTGGAATTAAGAGAGGGTGATCCATTCAAATTGAAGAGACATAAATCAGAGGCTCTCTTGAGTGCTTAATTAAATTACTAAGTGTTTAAATAAAGTAGGATTTGTAAATTTTTTCATTCAACATAGTTATTGAATATCTACTATGTGCTGAGCATTTTTCTGGATACCAGAAATATATCAATGAACAAAACCATCTTTATGGAACCTACATTCATTAAACTTTAGGGGAAAAACCAAGTTATTCAATACTTTTTCTTTCATACATTGGACATTAATTTTAAAATAAGTTAGCTACAAATAATTTCTTCATTGCACAAAATTTCCCTTGAGGGCACCAAAAACATTCACAATGGTAAGGGTCTTCATTCGTCCTGTATCATTATGCCTACCTCACATACAACACTCAAAATTGTGTGTGGTTTGACTATTGAATCTCCTCCTATGTGATCTGAATTCTTTCACATCACTCACAGGAAATCTGAGATAACCAGGATTTTCTTCTTAAAATGTAAGTGTCTCCAGAGTTAGGATTTAGGAGATATATCTTCATGTGATTCCAATTCTGTTTCTCCTAGTGGCTGGCTTAAGGAAGAACATGGTAGAGGAAAGAGAGGCAAATAGCTTTGGAGATGGAAATAATTATGCAGAAAAGGATAATTTCTGGATTGTGGCATTGAGATGCAGGGCTGGAAGTGCTCAAATGGGCAGCTGGGAGCTGGGGGGACTGGGCGAGGAATATTGAAAAAGTAGTGGGGAAAAAAATACAAATCTCAACTATTTTAAAAAAACAGCCTCCAACCAGGAAAGCAAAAGACCCTCTTTTCACTTTCCCGGGTGATTATTCCCCAAATTCGAAGTCAAAATTGCTTTCTTTTAAAAATTCCAATTAGGTAAATAAAGCTTTTGCAAAATGACATGAAAACTCAAATGAACATTGTTTCCATAGGAAAATCTTCTCATTTCAAAACAACCCACTTACAACAGTTTCATTAAAACATAACCAATTTGTGAATTGACTGCTAGTTTGATAGAATAAGATAACTCATAAGAACTACAACCCAGGCAGTTGTAGAAACTGCAGAGACTTTGTGGAAGCCCAGCAATGTTTCAACTGTGTGTTTCCTAGGGCAAGCTCCAAAGTAAGAACTAAGGGTTTTGCAATCCGTACCCATTTTTCGACTTCCCCTATGCCAGCAGCCACAATCCACATATTCCAAAACTGCAGGTAATGTTGGTAGCCCCTGTGACAGCTTCTCCTCTGCCATCTGGCTGCCCCCAATATCTGTGCCCATTTGCAAATTCCCCACACTGGCATTTAGGAATCAATTAGAAATCACAGGTAGATGGTGGGGGCAGGTTTGTAGAGTGGTTACCTCCTCAGGATCTAGCATCTGAAAGAAGACCTTTTAAATCCTAAATACCACCTCCTGGCTGGAGGATTACAAGCAAGTATCTTAAACTTTTTGCATCTCCATTTCCGTTGAAATGGGAATAATTGTTTCTGAGGGGTTTAAATGAGATGATGGAGGCACATCATTGCTGGCATATAGTGAGTGCTCAGAATTATACTTACACATAGTTTCCCTAACTTATAGCAAGTGAACAAGCAGAAAGTTATTTCAGATCTTTTGCTTCCAGTATGCCACAGATGTAAACAGTAATTACTGGCATCTTGATTGGCTTAGCCAACATACAGCTTTCTTTTTTCAACATTAAAGGAACCAAAAAACACCTCCAATTTCTAGTTGGGCTTTTCAGATGCTGGAATGACACTATCCTAAAAGTGACAAAGATTTTGTTTTAATCTGATGAACGAAAATTTCATGAGAAAAGAGTCATGGAAGAGTTTTGAAGAAAAAGTGCAAAATTCTAAATGATGGGTTTTTAAATAATCAGTGCCTATTCAGACATTCCATCGCATACTGAAACAAAATACCACTGACAATAATTTAAGAATGTGATTTTTCTAAATAGATCCATATAAACCAGGCTGCGTTATTAGGGGGGAAATGATTTTAATAATACGGTATTCGGTTGAGTATCATCAGGACAAGTGTACTGTAAAAAATGTTTTGAATATTCATTGAGCTCCGGTAACTTTAGTGTTGTAAATAATTGTATTATAGTGAGGTAGTCAGTTAAAAAAAACTCTCCATTAGACAGACTTAAAATTTTGTAATAATATTTAAGAAAATGATAACATTATGAAAGAATGAAATATCTGATTAATGCTTAACTTTGTACAACTCGAATATAAACTTTAAAAATATTAGAAATTATAACATTTGAGTGCATATAACGTTTTGTACATTAAGATGAATTGCATGCTGTCCATTTCCTCTTTGTACTTTCAATCACCTTAAATAAACAAATATATACAGCCTAAACAGAACAACAGTGCATCCAAAGCAAATGTGCATTTTAAATTATTTCTTCTGGCCAAGTCCTTTTTTTTTTTTTTTCCTTAGCGTTTTATATTAGCATTTATTTTTATTCTCGCCCTTTCTCGGACAGTTTGTAGTTCTCTGAACCAAACAAGCAACAGGTTTAGACCAAGAGAGCAAAACCACTAAGGAAAAACAAAATCTTTTTTCAATGGTTGGTAGCAGTCCCCTTGTGTAAACCATTTCATGGTCAAAGATAAGAAAGAAGCTCATTCTTCAAAGGGTCTAAGTATGGACAATGCTTGAAAATAATACTGGTTCAGGTTGGGGGAAAAGTCATGCTTTCAACAATCTGGGAATGGGAATTTAAATTGCATTGTGTTCCCTCCTGCTTCTTTGGGGACGATGAATTCCACCCCTGACTCTTCACTGCCCATTCCTCAGCTCCCACCCCAAGCTCAATGTAATACTTTGCTCTTTTCACAGTTTCTCATTACCAGGTTTTAAAAACATTGCCTAACTGGTAATTACAATCTGAAACAATTCTTTTGGGGAAGCCCTGGGCTATTGCAGGCTGGTAATCCTTCAGGAATGTCAGCTAGAGGGGAGGGAACAAAGATTTTAAAGAAGCTCTGGAGATAGGGACTTGTGCCCCCTTTCATCCACCTCCCTGCTCTCTGCCTGCATCTCTCTCCCCATCCCCAGTGGGGTTCACCCTCTCCCGTCCTGATATCCCCCTTCTATTTCTCGGAATATTTCCCCCTTCTCTGAACCTCTTACCTTAGCTTCTCACCCCTAATCAATTTTTTTTTTTAAACCTGGGCAATCACAGTCCCCTTAAAAGGAAATGTCAATTTTGGCAAATTCCATTCAAGGAAACCAATTAGAAACAGACACTACCAAAGGCTTTGGGGTGGGTTACCTGCAGCCTGGACTAATGCTCCTCTGTGTCAGCCCTGGTCAGAGGCAGGCCTTGTGGTTTCTCATTATCCTTCAGGGGGTTCTACTGGACTCATTCTTGTCATTCCATCCATACCAGCTCCCCTTTCCCCACCAGAAAATGTAACAGTAAAGGCAGTGACCTGAGTCCCCTGAAGTGAACCGCAGGCTGCCTGTTCCCCATACTGGGAGAGGCCAGGGGCAGGACTGGGAAGCTCACAGCAATACACTAGTGGGCTAAAAATGCCAGCTTTCTCGCAAAGCTCTTCCCTCTCAAGTCTCTTCTGAAAACAGGGCCCTTCCTGGCTTTCCAAATCCCAGGATCAGTTCCTCTGTTTCAACTCTTTCTGCTTGGGAGGTCACAAAGCATGGGCTATGACATGGCCGGAAAGACCCCACCTTCCTTACACAGGTAGAAAGTAATCAAATCAAGAAGTGGTCAACGGTGATTCTTCCTGCCACACTGTTTTCCTTCTTAAACTGTAATTTAAAAAAAAAAAAAAAAAAAGATCTATGGAGCAGTTGAGAAACAAATATGCGTCTCCCCTTCCCCCACCTCCTAGCAAAACCTGTGAGACACACCAGGAAATCCAAAGCCACAATAATAAAGAAAAATATAAGAAATCCTCCTTGACTTGTTTTTCCACGGTGGCCTGGCAAGGTGTGAAAATCCGTGTCTCCCTGTGGGCTGGCAGGTGGAAGCTTCTGGGCAGGCTGAGCTCCCCCTATCTCCCAGCCTCAGGTCCAGGCTGCTCCCTACCCTCTCGCCTCCTCCTAGGCCAGCTCTTCCTCCGCCCCTCTGCAGTCAGGCCTCCCCTGCGGGGCCAAGGCGGCCAGAAAGGCGCCGCTACCTGCAGCCGCAGGATTCCACCACCATGTCCTCGTACTGCTTGTAGACCACGTTATTGCCGGCGTCGATGTACAGGATGCTGATGGGAGTCAATTTGGTGGGCACGCAGCAGCTGGGCGGGGTGGAGCCGGGGTCCATGGAGTTCATCAGCGTCTGGATGATGGCGTGGTTGGTGGGCTCCAGGTGCGAGCGCAGCGGGAAGTCACACACGCCCTCGCAGTGGTAAGCCTCGTACTCCAGGGGCGCGATAATCCAGTCGTCCCAGCCCAGCTCCTTGAAGTTCACGTGCAGGGGCTTCTTGCTGCAGCGCAGCCTGGACTTCTTCCCGTGCCGCTTGCCGTGGCGACTGGCGAAGGCCGTGCGCCGCCGCCGGCGGCCGGGCGAGGGCAGCCACGGCCCGGCCCCTGGAGCGCCCGACGGCGGCGGCCACGACCCGTGGGCGCCCGCGCCGGGGCCCAGCTGCTCGCGCATCTCCGCGAACAGGTTCTTGCGCTGGGATCGCGTGAACACCACCAGCAGGGCGCGTTCCTGGGGGGGCCTCACCCTCCGGCCGAAGCCCAGACTCCGCAGGTCCGGGGCGGGCGGCTGCTGGGGCTCCGGCGCGCGCGCCTCGTCCTCGGCGGCGCCCGGCTCGTGCCACGCGGCGCGCAGCTCCAAGCACAGCTGCTTCCCGGGCCGGTGGCGCAGGCCCTGCCAGGCGTCGAAGACTTCCCAGCCGGCCCGGGGCGCCCCTGCGGGTCCAGGGTCCGCGCGTCCAGCAGCAGCGGCGACAGGCAGGGGTAGAGCTGCACGCGGAGCGGCCCCGCCGGCTGCCCCCAGGGCGCTGCGGGCGCCTGGCGAAAGAGCCGCAGCTCCGCGCCCACCAGCTCTTCTTTGTCTGAGAGCGTGGACACATCAAACAAATACTTCTGTCTCCGGAGAGGAGTGTGCGGGAGATCGTCTGTGAGATAAAAAATAATTACAGTCAGTTTCACTTAAGGGGGAGATCAGCCCGGTGCTCTGCGGCCGGCCCCGGGAGGAAGAGGGAGGGCGTGGGGCAGGCGGCCGGGAGTCCAGCTGGGCCAGCCCCGGGCCTGACCACCCGGCTCCCCGCCCGACCCCCGGCGAGGCGAGGGGAGGGGCCGCGCCAAGGCAGGCCCCCACCGCCCTGTCAGCCCCGGGACTCCCAGGGGGGAATCGGTGGCTGCAGCGGAGACGGAGGCCTCCCAGGTTTCCCCCCAGGAGCCTGCATAACCACTAATGTGCCCTCTGTGGTCGCGAGCTGGACTGCGCCTCCCCCGGACCACCGCTCAGATGGCTCGTTCTCATCATTCACGTCTCTGCTCAGATGTCACCTCCTCCAAGAGGCCATCCGACCACCCTGATCTGAAGCAAGCTCCCTGGCTTACTATCTTTCTAGTGAGATCAGGCCACTTTTACTCTGGTTTATTATCTTCCTGGCATTTCGCATTATCTACAATGACCTCGGTCATATTTGCCTCCTTAGTGGTCTGTCGGGCCCAGCAACACCCCTCCCCCTTCCACTAGCCCTTAGGAGCGAGGACCTGTCTGTTCATCTTGCTCTCCCCGGTGCCTTCAACCTGGAGGGACGCAGGGTACAGGCTGGTCAGTAAATGAGAGACATTCAGGGCAGCCGTGCACTATCTGGCTGCCCATTATAATCATCTAAGTAACTTAAACATCACCAGGACCAGGGTTTGCTTCAGCCCATTGAATGGATATTGGCAGACAGGGTCCGGGTATTAAGATTTTGTTGGCTTGTTGTTGTTGTTGTTCATTTCTTTTGATGCTCCAAGATGATTTTAAGGTGCTGCCCAATTTCAGACCCACTAGTCTGGAGGCAGGTTTGCTGAAGCATTTAAGCCCAACAAGAAGCAGACAGAATGAAGAGCTTTCTTTTAAAAATTCAGTAACTATTTAACAAGACATGAAAGAGCACTGAGGCTTTCAGTGTCTACAGGAGGGGCAAATATCAAACAGACCAGACATCTAACCATTAAGAAGATCCTGCTGTCAAGGAGAAATAGATATATCTGGAAGGAGAAAAACCTCAGTCACAGATACTTATGTGACATTCTCCCTTCCTCCACCAACCCAATCTAAAATTTTCTTCCTTTGCACCTAATCCTGAAGATAAAATTTGGGGTTACAAGCAAGAAAAAGAAATTTGGGTTTGGGTGGAGGGGCTCGGGAAGTCCAGGCTTTTCAAATCCAAGGTGAATTCTTTAGGACCAAGGCAAAACTGGACTTCTTTTCTGACACGTTTATGCATGAAGCCAACCCCACTTCAGTGTGCAAGGCGGAAAGCTAACCAGATTTTCTTGGGCTGCTTCTCATAAAATATTTACAACCCAGCAAATACAAAAATCCCAAAAGCCCCAAGCTTTCCCCAGAAGCTAGTAAAGTTTGGGTCGATTTCAATAGTAAAAGTGTCACTGGGTCCCAAATCCGACCCCTCACTGCCTATCCAGATGTAGCCCCAGGGCACTGGATCTGGAGCCTCGGCCACACCCAGTCCCCACTCTGGGCTGACCACCGGCTGCCTGGCTCCCTCACTTGAACACACATGTCCCAACCTGAGATGGAGCTGTGGGAAGGGTTAGAGGTGAAAAGGGAAAAGCTGCTGGAGGCAGTTGATTTATGGAAGCCAAGACCTTCAAACCGACCAGGGTCACATTAAAATCAGTGGTAATTCAGCACACTTTCTTCTCTTCCTTTAAAGAAACCTGTGTCTGACAAAGCTCAGCCACCACCCAGATCTCTGTGCATATTGCCTTGGGCTTCATTTTCCTGCCTCTCACATTTCTCTCTCCCCAAACTAAAGATGTGATGTGACAAACCTAGGGCATTTGCTGCACCAGTTAAAGGCTATGAGGGCTGACATATTTTCCATCTTTAGTCACAAAGATAGACGGTTCTGTAAGGCAGATACTCTTACTGACCCCATTTTATAGATGGGAAGACCAAGACTCGAGGAAACAAAATGAATTGATAGCTACTAAGCAGTGAGGCTGAGATCCAAAGCTAAGACTGCTTAATTCCAGGAGGTAGAGCACTTATCCCCTAAGCCCCAAGGTCTCTCCACTATAGTCCTGGACTGGAGCCGAAAAGAGACCTGGAGTGGCAGTGGTAGAAGGGAGGGAGATAGTCCAAACTGTGTTTGTGAGACTTGCTAGGACTGAAACCTGGGCTCTCTTGAGAAATCATTTCCATCTCTGCTTACTCAACTCTTGACATAGTTTGTCACTGGTTGCGGGGCGGGAGGCAGGTGCAAAGCAAAATGATGTATTTATTTGTCTCTCATACAAAATGGTGAGATCAGCCTACTCTTGTTTTCATTCAAGTGTGACCTCATAAATGGTTTGTCTGCACAGCTATTCACATTTCTCTAGTTCTTGAAACTGAGGAAAGGATTAATAGTGAGGGCGCTACTGATTCTTGAGCCTTGGGATTTCTGGTGATCTTTCTAGTGAGATCAGCCCACTTGGACTCTTTCCAGTGTTCAGGGAAAGAGTGCAAATCAGCTTCAGCTTGTATCCTGGTCTCTTCTCTTCCCATATAAGCTCCACTCCACAGGCTGAGGGCCTCACCAGCAAGTATGTGGACATTCACAAGTAACCCACAGTCCATGCTACCAGGCCTACAGGAACGCACATCGGTGGTGTGATCCATTTGTAGGAGGACTGTAGGGTAAGGTAAAAAAAAGTATCAGGTTTTTCTGCCCTCCCTCCAATAGGATTGATGATGGATCTGCAGTCCTGAATGCATGCCTGATGGCGGGCACCTGCAGTAGGGTGTGGGCATATGTAAGTGGGTACACCTGGGCTGAGAGACTGGGCTTATAAGGGCGGTGTCACAGGGACACCAGCAGAAGAGTGAGAGAACATGTGAGAGAGAGCCCAGAAAGAGTAAAGAATTGCTGGGGTCTAGGAGGCCTGCCATCCTCCTGCCCGCCCCACCCCTGCCCCCACCAGACCCCTGCCTGCTGTGTAGCCGGTAAAATCCCAGTAAAAATCTGAAAAGCCATTGACTCCAGAACTCCTCTTTCACCTGTCTGCTTGATCATAGAGATCCTGCCTTGTGGCCTTCCTGCCTCTACAAGGACAAAGCCAACGAAGGAGTTGCCTAGGCTCTGTAAGTAGATGGGGGGCTATTTGGGCAAAACTGTGGCTCAGGTGTCACAATAGAATAGTTGTTCTCAAAGCTACTAAGCCTACAGTGGACCCAACATCTGCCTCAGCAACACAGGAATTTGTTAGAAATGCAAATTCTCTTGGATCCCAAGGGTTTGGGGGATGGGGGTGGGGATCATTTGCATTTTTAGTAAGTTCCCAAATGGTATTGATTCTGGTGGTTGGCGATCCCAAGAGATTACTAATCTAGATGAATATGGGGATGCTGCCCAGCTCTTGGGAGTCTCACCCTGTAGGGAGGGCACCATTATTGGTGGGACAAAGCAGGACCCTCTAAAGCACAGGGTGCATGAAAGTGTCTAAGGCGGTACTCAACAGAACCAAGTCAGTGTCACTCCCAGGTCCTTCCTGCCCCCCACAGTAACCCCCACATTATTTTCCTCTTTCAAGCACTAGACCCAATCTCTAGAACCACTATCACCTAAAGAGAGGGTTCAAGAAAGTGGCTTGCTCCAAGTAGCTCCCCTATAGTCCAAATTCCCCACCTGTCTGGACTTGCTTTTGGAACCTTGCATCACACAAATAGCCCAGAGGAGGCATCCATCCTAGGGAGGGCACACAACACCATCCCGTGACCTTGCAGACATGCTACCTGCTGACATGGCAAGGTCTGGCCCTGCTGCCATGGTCTCCAGTGGGTTCAAAGTCCTTCACGCACCCTCCCATAAGCTTCCTTTACATATGAGGATTGATGGCATCAAATGACCCTCTCTCCCCTGCACTGGACTAGAAGCATGCACTTTTCATTTCGAAATCTGTTTGTGGCTCTTTCTTACACTCCAGGATCAAATCCTACATGTTAGGCCCTTATAGTGAAATTGATCAGTAATATATCGTGGGAACTTTTTGTTTTGATTGTAATTTGCATCTATCTGGATCTTTTACAGCTTGGCTCACACCCCAGTTAACTTGGTGTTTGTTGAATATTAGACAAATGGACCTTTCAAGATACAATTGCTGGATTTGCGCTTATCTGCTTTTCCCTGGCCAGTGAGTTGAGAAGGAGTGGGGGGCAGGGAGGAGTAAATTATCTGCATATTTGGAGAAAGTTTTTCCTAAGTAGGTCAGCCTATTGTAGGTTAAGAGCAAGTTGGTAAAAGGTTGAAGGCACCTCAAACATGCACATCAGGTACAGAATTGATTTTTTTTAACAAACAAGGAAATGAAACAAGAGAAAGAGAAAAGGAGCTCACAACCAGTAAGATAGGTACTATCATACCCATTTTAAGTGAGGAAACTGGCCTGCAAATTTAGAGGGCAGGAGTGCAATGTGCTCAAGAGGAACATCAGGTAAAATCATGTGTGTTTGCCCACAGTAAGTGGTTGGAGGAGGCTAGAGAAGCAAAGCCCAGAGCAGAAATGAAAGGATGGTCCCCACCAATGATCCAACCAACACCCAAGAACTTGAGCCTGGAGAGGGCGGTGAAAAGAGGAACACATAACTTCTGCTGAAAGAGGCACCCCTAGGCCACCCTGCAGAGGGGTCCATGTCATTTGGTTTGGGGTCCAGGTCTGCATTTTCCCAAGAATCACTGAAATATGTATGCAGCTGGAGGTCAGTCTTGGAGGTCCTCCTTGGACTGTCACTCACAGGCCCCAAAGGCACCCCTGCATCTCCAGTTCTCAGTGACTCTTTTTCTGTTTTCTCCAGCAGCCAACTCTGGGCTTCCTGGTGTTCCTTCTGAGCACATTGCCCTCCTGCCCTCTAAATTCGCAGTGACCCTGGACTTCTAGTGGCCAGGCTTCC